AATCAATAACTATCTTTACGGATGGAGAAAATTCCATAACCAAGCTGACTGAAAAAAGAGATCACGAAGATTTTATCTACCCCATGCTACTTCCAAGCAGTGATACCCTTGTTGAATATACGAGTATATCATTAAACGTATGCATTTAAAGATGCACCGCGTTGGCTTATGTTTTTGTTTTCAAGCTAAGAGAAACATTCTGGATACTTAAAAGTAGAAAGACAGTTCGAAGAGTTGTAACTCCATGCAAAAAATGCAGAAATCATCAAGCTAAATAAAAGGAGAGTATCGCAGTATCTTTACCTAAAAATAGAGTTAGAGACGCTTCTGGTATTAATATCTATGTAGCGGATTTAACAGATCCGCTATTTTAAAAAAGTCAGAAAAATGCCTGAATAATTTTGTTTACTTGTGCTGCGTATAAGTTATTCACTTAGTGCTGGTAATATTTTTTTCATCTCAAAGTTTTTATTAGATTTCGCAGGTTTATTGCAAGAAGTTATTTACAGTAATAATGGAAGTAATTTTATAGGAGCCAAAAAACATTTTAAATTCCTAAACTGGGATTTTATTGAAGCTGAAGCTTGACCAATCAAAATCCAGTGGAATTTTAACTCTTCTGCAGCTCATCACCTGATAGGGAGCTTTAATGAGAAAGTGATTCAAAGGACTTCTACGTCATGGTTTGGGAAGGTCGTTTTTAACACACGAGGAGCTGATGAGTGTTTCACATGATTCCGAATCTATAGTGAGTTCTAGATTACTCCTATATATCTCCGATGATTCAGAAAACTTTCCTGTTGACTCCAGCAATGTTTCTAGGAGAAATTAAAGAGGTTTCTAGGAGAAATTAAAGAGGCCTTATTTAGATCAAATCGACAAAATGAATTTTAACAAAGGATTAAGATGTCAACAAGATTTGAGGGATATTTTAAGAGAGATTTAGAAATGAGTATCTTGGTCAACTGATTCATTGTCAGTAAAACCCTATAGGCTGTTTCAACCCCAAAGTTGGAGACATCGTCCTGATTGAAACCGAATGAAAACGGAGGACATTCTGACCGATGGCTAAGGCGTATACCCAGGTAAAGATAACATAGAGTAGTTCGAGCTAAAACAGCATATGGAGAGATGGTACGACCCATTCAGAATACCTTCATGAATTGAAGAGGATCCGAAAGAAGTGAAACTTTCCTTGCCTGATCAATCACTTTTTGCCCCATCGGAGATCCAAAAAACTGTCATGACAAGAAACAAGAAACTAGAAAGACTATTAAGTTACCTCTTAGACTTTTCGACTGAACTTAAAAAATGAATTATTAGTTTGAACTGAGAGCTTTACTGTATGTTTTGATAACTATTTGTACATTACTAATCAAAAGGTAAGGAGATTAAATTGAAACTGCAACTGTATTGCAAATATATTTGTATCGAGGTAACTCTAAAGATACTTTTTTATACACTGTGTATCATGACTTTTAATAAAAATTCTGTAACTAAGTAACTATTGTTGTTTATAAGGAGAACGCAAACTAACAATCTAACCATTTTGAACAACAACGGCAAGGAAACTTTTCAAAATGGCGGCTCACTGGCAATTTCGTGGGGGAGCAAAAGATCAAAATTGCAAATACAAGAAGTAGGAATTAAAAATGAAGCAAATATAAATTAAATCTTGCATTTATTTTATTTTCTAATCTGTCTTCCATTCTTTCTAAATAATTTTATGTACTTTGTAAATTTATCTAAATCAAACAAAAAAGCTCTCCCTATAATTGGTTAAAAAGTCACAGTAAATATTAAAATACTTAGAATAGCATCAACAGAGTGCTGCCCACCAGCGGCCGAGCGGTAAAGTTGCTGAACACTGGTAGTTCGGTCCGAGATTCGAATCCCGCGAACGAGCTGGCTGCATGGATGTTTTTCCCATGTGTAATGTGTATACGAACCAGTTTCCCTTAGAAAGTCCTCCCACAAAAGGCATCCCTCCCCTTAGGCAGATAGCCCTAATGTGCTTTGCCACGATTAAAATACACACAAATACACACAATAGAGTGCTACTTTGGTAAACAGGGGCACAGGCGAAAAAAAATTACGTTTGGTGGTAGATAATGACTGATACAAATTATGATAGTCCATTGCTGAACTGGATTTATGGTAACCCATTATTTGAGCACTGCTGACGTCATTTAATTTTTAAAATAATGTGTTTTATTATATGTATAAGTTCTGTGTTTAAATATATAAAACTTCTGAGTTTTATATATAAGTTCTGCATTCTGTGTTTTGTTATTGTTTTAAATATTATTTATGGCTTTTAAATATTAAAAAGGTACAACTCCGTTAGAGCGGCTTCAGTTAAAAAGGCGTCAATCAAATATCTTGGCTCGAGAATTTAATGTTCGAAATATCGGGGTTCGAGAATTCTAGTTTTCGCTTAAAATATCATCGTTCGGTATTCTGAATATTTTTTATTTCGTTTAAAATATCGTGGCTCGAGATTTCTAGTTTTCGTTTGAAATATCGCCACTGGTTATTTTTTTGCCATATTTCGCCATTTTTCTAGTACAATGGATTACAAAACTTGGCAGTTACCTAATGAGAAGAGGCTGCCATAAGATTCTTTCAGGATAAAGGAATAATTCATAGCATCATTGTTCCTAAAATCATATGATTAAGTTAACTTTCGACTAAACAAAGGTCCTATATGGCGTTGTTACGTACGTTCTTGCTGTGAAAAAAAATATATAATGCAATTTAATTTTGCATTTTTATTTGAAAACTGATTAAACTGATTTTATTATTTATGGTTATTGGCTCACTGTTTGATTACAGGATATTTGTGCATTACCGCGCTATTTTAGAAATTTTATTCCGTTATCCGTATACAAAGTTTTAGAGTTTGTTCTATTCTGGATTTTACTCGATATTTGGATAGCCTCTTCAGTTTTACATATGAATGTCGTTATTGGTAATTATCATCAATTATTGGTATCGAAATCTAATAATTCTCCTTTGAGACCTTATTTTAGCTAATCGGCTTTCCAAATCAGAGGTTTATTTATTAGCTTTTCCCCGATCTTCGGAATCTTATAAACAATACCTATAGTAGGAAAGAAATATATTCTTTTATTTATTTTTCCAAAATTTATATTTTTTTAAAATTTTTATAATCCATTAATTTGTCTATAAATTATTTGATCTAGTTATAAAATTTTTGTTTTACTATTTTGGTACTTTTCCGTTTTGCCAGCGCAAGCGATAAAGTCGCCAAAAATGGTACCACCGATGCCAAACGGAATATCCTCGCTGGTAACCTTTTACGCCTTATTTTCAAAAACAAGTCGCAGCCAATTCTTATCAGAATGATTGTCTCTCTCAATACTGGCATACTAATTACATAGAAGTTTTATCCAGATAGTTCACTTTTTATGTTCTAAGGCCATTCGCGGTAATTAAGTCAATTAGGATGCAATCACACCGCTCACCCGAAAGCGAAAATTATAGAAAAGGCGAAGTCAAGGGTTAAATTCATCCATTCTAATGAGAATGCACTAGCGAAGTAAAGCACTGCCGTTTTACACAGTTTTTGAGTAAGCTATTCGTACGGATTGAAATAATTCTTGCATTTAAACTTGTATCCCAAATTAAGATTTGACGTGAAAATAATGTAGATAATTACTGTGACAATTATATTTTTGTAGCGTAGTTTACATGAAATGAGATCGCTTGAAGTCACCTGATATGAAACGGCGAATCAGTATGTTGTGTTGTACCTTGAAAGCATAAATTCTTAAAATAATGTCTTTTTACAAATTTATTGTGATTTTGCAAAATTTTAAACGATATTAAAATGTTTATGCCTTCAAAATAAAAATTTCTTAGAACTAACATTGTTAACATTTTTTATCTGTATACTCTGTGTTGTCACTAATAAAGTATGCTTGGCGAGAATTGCGCCGGCAAAACGGATACGTACCTAAATTTTTATATTCCCGCCTTTGCTTTTTCATGTTTAAATTTTTTTTCATTAAAATCTAACTTATGATTCCGATTTTTTTTTTAAATGCTGGTACTTACTAATAAATGTTGAAATGTTATTAGACAATCGACAAAAGTACCTGATTTACCATTTACCGCTTTTTGGTTTTTGTATTTTTGCTTTTTATTCTTTTGTTTAAAGTTTGCCTTACCTTGATCAACATATTACTTACAATTAGATTTGAATTTTATTTGTAAATATTCTAGTGATAATATTGTTACTTAATGTTTACACTTTTCATGCACTTTATTTTACTATGTTAAATTTTTCACGGGACCACATTATCTAAGCTGCTTTTAGCAAAGCACTAAGAATTTCTTTTACTTGTTTTCTAAATTTGCAGCTCATGCGCAAAGTTCTTGCCACAAAGGTCTTTTTTAGTTGTTCTCCTTCCTTTAATTTTTCGATTCTTTATATATGTATATTTTCATTTTTATAAAAAAATTAATACAGATTTCAACAATGGGACTATTTTTTTATAATACGAATACTATACTTAAGTAACTATATATAAAGTTACTTTATTCTGAAGTGGTTCAATTCAAGTAATATTTTAATTTTATTAACCGTTGGCATGATGTTTTTAAAGCGGTATTTTTTATTCTATTTCTTTGCTATAAAAATAAGGATTTAACTTTACTTAATATTTTATATTCGTAGTAAATGTATTTATTTACAATCACTTGGCACCTTGAAGAACGACGTTGTAAAAAAAAAAAAAAAAAAAAAAAAAGGCAAGTATTGCGTCAAAAATAATCGCCAAAAACCTGCGTGCCTGTTTACCAAACTAGCACCATCGACAGAAAGATTATTGAAAAAAGAAATTTTAAACTTGGTTAGTGTAATTACTTGAGTGAAAATTTGCTACAAAACAAAACTGCTTTCATTTATATCAAAACGAAGAAATTACTAAAGTTAAAAGTACAAAGCACTGTTATTATATCACATTCATAATTACCAATGCGGTATCTGACTGGAAGTTCACAAGACCTTGAAGTTTGAAACTTAGCAAATGAATATCACTTCATCCACATTGGATGCAGGAAAATTTTGTGCCACCTCGTGTTCCTAGAAAAGGATAAAATACGTCAAAGTCGTAATATGTAACAATTTGAAATTTTGTAGGTGAATCATGAACAACTCTTTTTCGCGTGCTGTGTTGTGTTATAAATAAATCATTTATCAGTTACCAATTATAGCTTTTCATACAACTTTCTGATTTTGGAAATTAATTTTCAGATTTTTCGATTCTCAAACAAAAGGTTTAAAATGGTTAACACTGCACATAAAAATTATTGCAGTTAAAATAGTTCCGTCTAATGATAATTATATAAGAAAATAAATGTTCTCAAAAGTATTTAAATTTGACACAGACAGCAGTTTTTTTTTTTTTTTCCTTGATGCACAATTTCAGGCAACAAAATATTTTAAAATATTATTTTAAATCAATTTTAGTTAAAAGTTTCTTGAAAGGAAATAAAAAGTTTAAAAAAGTGAAGCTATATTATGAAATTTTGCCAAATCTTTCAGGCAGCAAAATATTTCTAAATATATTGATGTCTAAAACTGGCAACAAATTATTTAAGATAAAAGACATTTTGCGGTAGAGGCAACAAAATATTTAAAAGCAAAGCAGTATTTCAATCAATTTACACTTTTTCCACGCCTCTTGCCAGTACCTTTTCACTTAGCTAATGCATTTCTCGCAGTACCTGCATTGATAATGCTGCGTGTGAAATGAGTTAATATTGCTGAAATAGCTCCGTTACTTGTAACTGCAATCGAAGATAATTGAAACTTTGCTTAATTAGCGAGTTTATTTACTGCAATTTAATTAGTTTAGTTTCTTAAGTAGTTGTTATAAAATATTTGTCGATATAGCTTAATCCTAGAAGACGCTGCACAAGTCGAGACGTTGTTTACTTACTTGTCTTAGGCTTCGACACGCTATTTTATGACGTAATATTGGCTATGTCTCTTTCTGAAAACAAGTTATAGTTATGCTAAAGCTTCATATTTGAAGAAATTTATATTATGCTTTAACTGAGTAGAAATGTTAGGTTTATAATTTTCCTTTTATGTGTTGTATTAACATTTAGCGCAACGAGTTAGCTCTCAAAAATGTATTATTAAGATTTTCCAAACGATTAAAAATATTGAATGAATGATTAAAATTTATAATCGTAACTGCTCAAAATACAGAAAAGAATTATTTTTCTTAAGGAACGTTTTGATTACCGATGAGTGTATTTGATCTCTGTACTCTCGGTAGTATGGATGATTATCTAAATCTGGAATTTTTTATCAGTTGGAGTGAAAGGGTAAATAAAAAAGCGTGATTAAGTGTATGGAGAAAAAGTTGTTTACAGGGTCGGGTATAAACGTCCGAATTGTGAAACGAATATGAAACTTGTAGAGGAAAAGAACTGTATATTGGTTTTGAGTGGATGTACAGAGTTACTGGATTGCGAATTACAAGGTCCATTCGAAACTATTCGCGGTTTGCGAAGAGTAAATTCAGGATATGTGGTGTTTTGCAAGTTAGTATATGTGTGGTTGGTAAAGTGCGGGAATGATTTTATATAATTGGAATTACGTATTGTTAAAAATACTGGGACAGACTGGAAGAGTTTTGTAGGGAAATGTGCATGGAGTTACGCTTGAAAGAGAATGTGATGTTGGATCCGGAAAGCATGATTGTGGAAATTAACGAAAGTAAATTTGTTAAGCAAAAATATTATAGAGGGGAAAGAGGGGTATTTGATTTGTTTGAGAGAGGAACGGATGAATGTGTGTTTAAGAGTGGTTAAAAGCAGAGGTACCGAGTCATTGTTAGAAATTATTACATAGAATGTTCAACTGTTAATTCAGATTATTGGAAAGCCTCTGCTGTCATTCTCAAGTTAGACGTAATGCAAAAGTATATTTAAAGAAATACTTTAATGCTTTGATATATTTTACTGCTTCAGTAAATTTTAGGCGATGTTTTTTATCTTAAATAACTTGCAGCTTCAAATGTTTCATAAAAACCATATATATAGTAATACATATAATAAAATCTTCCCTACTTTGTAGAGACGTTAGGTATTTTTTTTTTTTTAAACAGGAAACATGAAAAATAGCAACGCCTTCGCCCGGAATCGAACCTCGAACCTCTGGAATACGCGCCCAGCGTGCAGATCACCACACCACAAAGGAATGTTAAGAAGGCGGGAGAAATAACTTATAACTTAAGCATAATATTTAGGCGTGGAAAAGGGAAAAATTACTAACGTGTATGCTAAATATATAAATAAAAATTGTCCTTTGCTCGTTAACACTGAATTAATAGAATTTTAATAAAGAAAAATCTGTAAAGATCGATATCTCGGAATTTTATACATACAATGAGATAGTCATTCCATTTATGAACAGACATTCATGTCTTAACTTCTATATAATACATATAGATATAAATAGTATTATATATATATATATATATATATATGGTATTACTATATCTATAATAATAATATACGTAGTAATACATAGATATATTATTACTATATCTGCGTCTAAAACATTTAAAGACATTTGATAAAGGCTGCTATTATCATCCCAACTCAGCACTGAAAAAAATGCAGAGTTGTTCAGGTATGAACACATCATCTTTTTTTAATTCGTAGAACATATTCTGAAACATTAAATGCGCAAAATATTCGGAATACAAATACTTCTTTTTAATTTCATGGTAAAAATTTAAATACGGGAATTATAATTAAATAATTAATAATTATAGTATGGGGCATAGAAACGCTGTTTCCTATTTCTGAGCCTTAAATTATACAAGCGTAGAAATGTAGAAATAGAAATTGTAACTATTGATTTGCAATTTGTTAGTTCTGTAATGTTTTCGTTCGCTCTTGGGCATTTTTAGAAGTTCTTTTTTCTTCTGCTAAACCTGCTTATTAACTGTAGATTAATTATTGACTTAATTTTACGCGATTCGAGGCATGATTTAACAAATGGAATTATAGTGAAATCCTGTAAGTTTTTTCAATTACCAATGTAAATTAAATTTTAAATTGTAAAAATAAAACGATTACATTGAAATTAAATTTTTCATAGATAAATTATATGCTGCAAAGTATAAAGGTGAATTAGGAAAAGCAAAAACATTGTGTTTGGCGTATATTTCAAGACCCTATCGATTTCGAGGGCAAACAGGTACATGTCTCTCTTTATCAGGAGCAAAGAAATCTGCCAGTTTTTTACAGATTTCTTTGCTCCTGATAAACAGAGACCTGTACTTTTTTGTTCAAGAAATCGAAAGAGTCTTGATTAAAATTTATGCCAAATACAAGGCTGCTGTTTGCCTAATTTTATGTTTTGCTTTGGAAAGATGAAATTTCAAGATTATGAGTTTTTCTCCAATTTTGTATTAAATTTTATATATTGATTTTGATTAACTTTCTATCTCAGTTCTGTATAGTGACAATTTTTATATTTTCAGCTAAATCAGGTTCAAATAAAATAGGTACTGAGAAGATAATAAGACAATTAGTAAATACAAAAATAGTAAAGTTACGAACTGCAATAATCATGGGAGAAGAAAAGAATAAAAATTTTCAAAAATGTATGTTCAAAGCTTATTGCAACTATTTAGTGTGTATTTTATTAATTTGTAAGAGAAAATATACCTAAAAGCACAATTTCAAACAAATCCGTTTTAGAAACCGTTTCTGAAAATGCGAAAACTTGCATGGGAAAAAAATCTCACCTTGCAAATACTTTTCTTCCGCTGTCGTTGAAATGAACTGCTTCATTTTGACATTACTGGAGAGCGCTTAAAATGAAGTCCGTCGCAGAAGTCGCGACATTGCAGATTATTAATAAATTTTTGTCGAACGAAACATGCAAGAAGCGACTCAAGCGTCAAAGTTTTACCGCCATTGTTTCCATAGCAACGATGCTTGTTATACTTTTTTGGTTTGTTTTTCGGAAATAACATTCTTTTTCGGTTTTACGAATAATTAAAGAAGGCTTCGTGTTCAAATTTACAGATGATGGGTAATTTTCACGCAAGATGAATTTGTACAGTTACATAAAATGACAGAAAATAATTCCAAGCTTTTAAGTTTATTGTGTCACACAAAATGATATTAAGCTTTTGTTGATTTTTATCCTGTGAAAAAAAAATACTTCATACCCTGTAATCGAAACTGAAAACTAATGGATCGTGATAGAACCCAGTTAAGAAAATTGTCTCATAAATGGATTTTGCAGACCTTATAGGCATTTGGCTGAAAGATTTGCTCTAGATAATTTTCTTAATCAACAGGAAATAGCTTGTAGAGCATTAGGTATTTTTTGGAAGCAGGCAAGATGAAAAAAATGCAACGCCTTCTCCGAAAATCGAACCACGGACCTTTGGAATACGTGCCCAGTGTGCAGACCGCCACACTACGAAGGCATGCGCAGAAGGCGGGAGAAATATCTTATAAGCTTTCCTTTTGAAGGAGCTAAATCAAATTCACAAGCTATGTTCAGTATTTTCCTTGAGGCGTTTTCGATGTTAAATATTACTTAAACTTCAATTAATTAGACGCTAGCGCAAACAGCTATTACTCCAAGTAGGTCTGGGTTCAAAAACTGTGCAAAAGTTTGGTATCTTTCTGTATGGGCATGTGGAAAGCTGTTAAGCCATGTTTACAGCTTTTCACATGACCATGTAAAAAGACAAGCCTTTCGTCCAGTGGTGCACAGCGTTATATAATAAAAGTTACGGGGATGCAATACATAAATTCGCTAATTTTATTAGACTGAAAGGTTTCCTCTACAAACGATAAATGGAGTGGAAAATATTTAGTTATAGACTCTCATGAAAAAATTAGACCCAAAAGATCCTCATGAATAATCACTGCTGCAAATCCAATCGCCCTACAAACGATGACCGGAACGGAAAGTACCCAGTTAGTTACTCTGCAACTATAAGTAACCAAAAGACTCATGAATAACCACTGCATTGGAATAAATTATAAGACCTTCGGTTTCTCATTCTCTTGATCGCATTGTTTAAAAGTTACACA